GGCAGGGAAGGACCAAATGCAATGGAAATGAGCAGAGAAATTACTAGGTGGGTAAGGCAGGGAAGGCAGATTGACAAGAAGGGGAGAAACAAAACAGAGGTGTTTTGCTAGTGGCTGAGAGAGGAAAAGGCCAAGGTGCTGGTGATGTGCCTCAGGCAAGTGTGGGGCGAGCTGGCCGTGCTGAGGGCGTTTCCTGCGTTGGCAGAAGACTGGGACTTTGGAAGGCTGGGTGGGGAAGGCGAAATGAGTACAGTATCAACTTATTAGCAACTTGATGATTGGGAGTGAAGACACCAACAAATGTCCTTTCTATTGTGTGCCACCAACTGCCTCATGTTCTCATCCTTGTTTTTTGTTTTTTCAGATTTATTTTTAGAGGGACAGGAAGGGAGGGAGAAAGAGGGAGAGAAACGGCAACATGTTGCCTCTCGCGCACCGCCAACTGAGGACCTGGCCTGCAACCCAGGCCTGTGCCCTGCCTGGGAACTGAACCAGTGACCTTTTGGTTCACAGGCCGGCACTCAACCCACTGAGCCACAGCAGGCAGGGCACACACCCATTTTATTGTTTTTAACGTACACACTTTAAACATCTTCAAAGGCAGTCTATGTCTACCGAATAAACACATACTTCTAAGCTCCATAGTGAAGCCCTGGCTAGTGGGGCTGAGTGGATTGAGCGCCGGTCTGAGAACCGAGGGATCGTTAGTTCGATTCCCAGTTAGGGCACATTCCTGGGTTTCAGGCCAGGTCCCCAGTAGGGGGCGCACAAGAGGCAACCTATCAATGTCTCCCTTCCCCAATAAAAATAAATAAAACCTTTAAAATAAACAAACGGCATAGTAGGACATCAGACCCCAAATATCCTTCCTTCCTTAGTTGTGCCAGGCTCTCTTCCAGGTCTGCTTCCTGGGTAGGCACCACCTGGGGATGCCTATTTGTCAAAGCCAAAGACACACACCCTCTTTCTGAACCTCTCTCATCCTCTTAGCACAAATTCATTCCTCTCCCACATCATGCTCAATGAACGCCTTATCACAGTGCGTCATAAATTCCCAAGTCTCCCGGCTCAGAGGCCCACGCCACGCGTTCACGTTCCCTTCTGTGTTCCTGGCCCAGTCCGTGACCGACTGATGTTTGAGGATTCTTTGGTGAATACATAGAGGACACCTTTAAAATAGGTGAAGAAAGATTTTTGGAGAAAATTAGGTTTCACAATTTCAGCCCCTGAATAATACCCCTTCCCCTTAGAAAACGCTGGCAGCCGTTAAAGACTGGTATTTCATCAGTGGGGTGTAGATAAATTCTCCTTCAGGGTGTGCCTCCTTTCCCTTCCCCGAGCAGCTCGTCAATCCTGGCTAAAGGCCCTTGTGGGCTGCTCACAGAGAGGAGGAGAGTTTTGTTTTATAAAATCAGTTACCGGATTTCTTCCTGCCACCAGTGGTCTGTAAGCTCTCAGGAATTTCTATCTTCAAACAAACATAAAAGTTTTTCCACATCGAGAAGAAACCGCGTGAAACCTGCAATCCCTTCTGCCAGGGCTTCCAGCTGCCAAAAGCCACCATTACCTGGAGGGTTCACCAAAAGCTCATTCAGGTGATGCAAATTTTCAACTCTTAGCACATGATTGCAATCTAGGAAATGCATGTGTGTTTGTACTTGGTCTGAATGTCCTCATTCCAGTATTTCAAAGGCATAGCAACTTTAAGTTCGCAGCCTTTGTTGATTTTGTATATATATAAATATACATATTTACTCATTCTAAGGGAAGCCTTCCATCAAAGAGAAACCCCAGATTTACAAATCAGAGGAATACTTTGCTCCTGTTCAGTTTTCCCCAAACCGCCCAGCTGCCTGCAAATCAAAATACAACCGGAAGGTCAGCCAGTCCCAAGGCCAAGTTGCGCCTCCCTCAGTCCCCTCCCCTCCCCTCTTGCCATGTGCAACCTTCTCCAACTGCGCCCGCCGTGCTCTTTCTCCCAGAGCTTAAAAAAAAAAAATTTGTCCGCAATCAGGCGCGACAGATGAGCCTCCGATTCGGGAAAGCGGAAGTCGTTCCTTCAAAGATAAAGAACAGACTTAGAAGGGAAGCCGCAGCGGGCTTCAGTCTCGTGCATTTCGTCTCTTTCAGTGACTGCGCTGCCTTACGGTACCCAGTGCGGTGGCCCCTTCCCTGCGGCAGCAGCTCCTACGATTTTTCTGTCCGCACCTCCCAATTTGCACCCCCTTTCACTTATGGGGGCTCCCCACACTGCGCCATCGCTCTGGGGCGTCCCCATCCCCCACCGCACCATTGGGAAGCCGACCCTCTGGCTTCTAGGGACCTTTGTCGCAGGCTTCATGTCCCCCTTCCGTTTCACCAGGGCAGGGGAGAAAACTGGAAATTTCGCACTGGTGACTATTATGTCATCTGACGAACTTGCCCTCTAAAATGCCACTAAAGAAGTCGAGTCACAGTGAATCGTGAAGGTGCAAGCTAAAAGGACCAGAGGGCGGGGCGGGGCAAAGGAGGAAAGGGGTCGAAGCCCCAAAACCTGCGTCTGATCCGCGAGTTCGACATCGGCCCGGCCCGCAGCGGCCTCCGGTGCATCCTCCGGGGACCCGAGGGGCTGGAAGGCGGGGCCCCGGGTGCGAGCGCGGGAAGGGCTGCCGAAAGGCCGGAACGGCGGCTGCGCGGAGGGCGCGCGCCGCGGGGAGGGCCGCCCCGCGCTCGGGCCAGGCCGTCCCCGACAGCCTCCAGGCCGTCGGGCCTCACAGGGGCTGACATCATCGGCGGAAGGAGGGGCTGCCGGCGCCCGGGCGCCAGGAGATCGGGCGTCTCGGGCCTCCCCGGCGGAGGCGCTCTCTCACAGCGCGGCAGGCGGGCGGCGGGCGCACCGCCGTGGTGGCCCGGCTCAGACCGCGGGAGCTGCGCGCGGCCGGTCTTAATTTAGCAAAAGGCGCAAAGGTATCTTTAGACCTCGGCGCGTCCATCTCGGTTCCTTCTTCAACACCTCCCGCGCTCCTTCCCAGGAACCAGACAAAGGCAAGAAAGGGGAACAGAGGTACAAATACCGTCACTTGGACTTGCTTTCAAATACGCCCCCCCCCGCCCCCGCCAGCACATGCCAAAGGACAGTCCTGAGGCTGATAATCCGGCCGTGATTGTGCGAGTTTATTTCAAACAAGAGGGTGGAATTCCATTTACTCTGTACCTAGTTCACAAGGCTCCCGCAAGCACCTTTTTTCAATCCCACGTGTATTAACCTTTCCGGGGCGAGGGCCGAATTGCTTTACTCAGACATCTCCGGTGTCCTGCTCAGTGTTTAGCATTGTTCCCTGCACGCTCCGCAGGTTGTTCCTTTGCTCCTGCACCAGCTAAGAGCCTGCTAGCCGATCCTGGGCACCATTACCACCTCCCCATGTTTCCTGCCTCCTTCCCCGCCCACCTCGATTGCACACACTTTCTTCCGCACACTTTTCCTTGTACAGAAACAGGTCCCCTCTTAGGCTTAAATCCCATCTTGGGACGTTCCGACACAGGGTGTTGCTTTGGTTTTGTTCTTTGTGTTTAATTTTCTGCTTTCTTTTGTCCTAGCCCCTTTCCCCTCATATGCTTGCTTTGTGGACGTGTGCCGCAGTGGCGCAACTTTTGACTCCCAGCCCCGCAGCCCACATTTAAACGGAAAGGCACCCGGCTTGGACATGCAGGGGTCCGCGCGCACACACGCAGTCCCCTCGCGCAGCCCGGAGCCCCGCACCCCAAACCGCAAAGGCGGCCAAAGCAGCGAAGCGCAGATTTCTTTCTTTTTGGAGGCCAAAGGACCGCTTTCAGCTGAGCTCTAAAAGTCCTTCCTGAGGGGAGGGAAGGAAGTGGTTCCCAATCTGCACTCTCGGAAAGGCGCATACAGGCCAGCCAGGTCTCCAACGGAGGGAGACTTTTTCTCTAAAGTCTCTGAAGAAAAAAAGAGACCCATGCGTGGCTAAGCGCTGTGGAAAAGTCACCTTTTCCGAGGGCGCTCTTATACAGAAAAGGGAAGGGGCCGTTTTATGGCCACGCGCTTAAAGAAATAATTCCTTTGTGGCTAGACGAACTGGTTTTCCATTCGGTCTCAGTAAACGCCATTCACTTACGGGATAAGATAGACATTTATGGGCAAGGGGTGAAAAGTCATTTCTAAAGAGACAGAGAAACCCTCTCACATTCCCCCACGCTCTTAAAAAGTATTTTTTTTCCTTTTTCTCAATGAGAAAAGGATGCCGTTTTCGCTTTCCCCCCCCCGCTACGCGATGGTAAGGAGTTCCTTTAAAAAAAAATCCGCACAATTTTACACACCTACCATGCCCATGCACGTCCAGCAGGTGCTGGCTGAGCGCAGCCCGGTAAGTAGGGCGGGAAAGCGAGCGCCAGGCGGAATGGCAGGGGAACCCTGCGCGCTCCCGGGCGCGCTGCGCTGTTCACCGCTCTGGGCCAAGGGTCGGGTCCCCGAGGGTTTGAGTCACCCTGGCAAAGATCCAAACCCCAACCCTCAGAGAGGAGAGCACAGCGGGGCCCCGCCGCGCGAGATCCGAGGTGGGCGCTGCGCTCCGGGCATTACCGCTCCTCGGACCTCTCCGCCGAGCTAGCCGGGGAGGGATGTGCTCTTTTCTCAGCACCCGCGCCAACGTAAAGAGTTTTTGTCAGCCTCGCTGACGCTGGCTGTATCTGTTCAAGTGAAAAGACCTTTCTGCACCGTCAATGTCGGGGAAATTCATGCGCGGACACTTTTCTCATAGAAGTGAGTTTTCGCAAAGTAACCAAGCCAAGCCCAGCGGTGACAGCGCCCAGAAGATGCTCTACCTGCGCTCTCTCTTACACCTCCGGGAAAGAGATGGGGGTAGGGGGAAGGGAGAACAGCAGAAGCGTCTTTAAAAGCACTCGGGTCTCAGTCAAGCCCAGGCAGCAGGAAGTCGGGGAGCACTGAGTGCGGGACTCACACGTCACATGCCGCACTCGGCTCTGGCACCCGACCCGATACTTACCCTGTGATTGTAGCCTCTATAGAAGGAGGAGGTGGGAAGAAAAAAAAAAGAGAAAAAACTGCGGCTCCAGAGACTGCGATTGCCGTAGCGGTCTTTGCCGCCACAGCTCGCAGTCCGCGGAGCAGCCGGGGGTGTGGAGGTCGCTGCAGAGGTGGTTCGGGCTGCCCGGGTGGCCTGGGCTGCCTGAGCTGCCGAGGTCGCCGCTGGCACCGCCACTCAGCGCGCTCCGTTCAGCCTGCTTTCCGCTCTGCCACGCGGGCCGCTCGGTGTAGCTCAAACGCTCAACGGCTCAGACACACAGCTCCTGCCGCTCTGACAGTTCGCTGACTGCACGGAGCCGGGCCGAGCCAGCCCTTTTCAACGGCGAGTGGGAGGGGCTAGAGAGAGGGAGGGAAGGGGGACGGAAGGGGGGTGAGCGAGTGGAGCTCGGGGCGCGGGGGAGAGGAGGGAGCCAGCGCCTGCGCCGCCCGCTGCGAGGGGCTGGCGCGGCACCACCCGCCGGGTCCCCCCTCTCGCCCCCACTCCCCGCGCCCCGCAGCTCCCGCCGCTCCCGGGGAGGGCCCCTCCCGGCCGGAGGGGAGCCGGGGGGAAGGGCGGGAGCGAGATGGAGGTAAGCTCGGGAAGTTACTGTTCGCCGCCCGAGAAGGCGGCGGGATACGCGCCGGCCGCACAGTCGCGTGCGGGACGCGCCACCGGGGGAAACCGCGTGGCTGGCGCGCTGGCCGCCTGGCAGAGCAAAGGGCAGGGCGCACAGCGCTCGGCTCGGTGCTGCGCTGGCCGGTCTCAGGCTTCCCCTGAAGTTTAACTCATTCACGCTCTCTTCCCGAAGTTTGCTTTTTCTGATGGTGTGTGCTTCCCCCGCGACCCCGCTGAGCGCCCCGACTCCAGCTGGAGAACCAGCGCCCAGCAGCCCCGCGTTCGCATACAAAGGATACCTGGGGGAGCCTAGCAGAACGGGGGGTACGAGCCCGGCAAAGCCGCAGTTGGAGCGGAGAGGCTGTGTCTGCCGCATAGAACTGTGAGCCAGGGCCGGTACCTCGCCCGCCGTTCCCATCGATCGTCTGGGGACGGCGGGGAGGTGGATGAGGGGAAGACCTGGCATTTGGCTCCCAGACCGAGCAAGTACCGAGTGAGCGTTAAGCGGGGTCCAGGCAGCCTCGCGGGCGTGGACGGCGCGTTTCCGAGGTAGGAAAGCAGGCGAGAGGGGGAGGAACCCAGCCCGGAGCCGCGGGGCTGGTGCCCGGCGGCGCGCTCCCGCAGCCTAGTCGGCGACGTCCGGGCGGGCTCGGCGGGTGGGCGGGCTGGGCCGGGGGGCGGGGTGGGGGGCAGGTCTCCAGAGGCCACTCAAGCAACCGGGGGCAATGCGGCCGGTTTATGGCTCAGATGGGTCGTAGGGGTCTGGAAGTAGGGGCAATTCCCCTGTCCCTGTCATGGGATTAAAAGCAAAAAGCCACAATAACTAAAACCTCCCAATGGGTCCATTCTGATTCTTGCTCCAAGATGCAAGTCCTTCCATTTACCCAGAGGCCAGAGAATGAGCCAGGTGCGTTCGCTCAGTTTTCTCCGCACAGGTGCAGGGTTTCAGGGGGAAATGCCTTTTCCGTGCTTAACCAAAGGAAGAAAAAAAACTTTTCTAACGCTTGCTTTGTTTTCGGAAGGAGACTCTCTTTCCTAAAATAAAAAGGGGGAAAAGTACACCATGTTTTGGGGTGCCAAGAGCACATTATTCATTTTTAGTTTTGTCTGCTAACCGGAAGGGGGAATATATCCGCATAGGGACACCGAAAAGGGGGAAATTTGCCAATTACCACAAGTTGATTTTCTTTAACAGCATCTCCATGGGATTTTTTAAAAAAAAATTATTATTGAAGGACAAATCTTTATGGCTTCTTTTCCCAGCACGTCATTCTCCACCTTCATAACCACCACTTTTTCAATTCCTGGTATTTTTAAAGGTTAAAATCTGGCTTTAAATAATCCTCACATCACTTTTTTCCTTTTTTTTTCTTTTTTCTTTTTACACCGAAAGCCACCACTGAGAGCCCCAGCGACTCGCTCTGTACCCAGCACATGCTTTGTCCTCTGCTTGGCAGCGAGGAACTGCCTTGGAGGTGAAAGCAGAAACAGTCCAATTATTACAGCCCTGTCTCGGGGTTCGCCTCCGGTTGAGGCTCTGTCGTAGGGGATGGCAGGGACTCAAAGAAAATCAAGTCGCTGACCGATCACAGTGTGGCAAAGCCCTGTCGTGGTCGCCCTCTCACAGTGCCAGCGGTCATTATGAACAGCCACGTCAGGCACCAATTAATTAATTTCTTAAGATGCCCATGTAAACCCAGAGGGAGAGGACTGTCCAGGGAATGTTGTGAAGTATTTAAAGTTATGGTCGTGACAGACTCATGAGGTTCATATTGTTGTCCACCTTTTCCAGTTCCCGAAATGGAAGCTCACACAGGACAGGTACTTTACATGACACCGCGGAGTTGAAGAGGAACAGGAATTCTACTCGGAGTGTACAACTTCTCAATGCAGCTACACGGCTGCTTCCCAGTGCACCCGGATCCTTCTATAACACAGAGCACAGCATTTTCTTTTTAAGTGTAGGTCGTCCAATACAAGATGATCTCTGTAGACTAGAGGCATTACTTACAGACCACGGAGACTACCAGGTGAACTGGGTAACCCAGAAAATTATCTGGGAAATTCAGTTTGTTGATAAGACTGACAGAAATCCACATCTGAAAATAATGAAAAAAAATGTTTTCCCATTTTTCTCCTTCCCCGTGTTCTGTCTCATGGTGGCACTAATGAGCAAGGGAACAACCGAAAGCCGGGCCACCTGGTAAAAGCCCTCCTGTACGTGCTCCAAGTCTAAAAGCACTGATGAGAACTCTACTTCGCTTACTTAGGGAAGGATTTTTTTTCTTACGATATGTGAAAGGATGTCTTGATTGAATGTTTTTTATGTATCACCTACATTATATACATTGTCCTATTAATCCTTAAAATCATTCTGTGAGATATTATTAGCTTCAAAAGCTGTGCTTTAACCGAGGAGGAGAGGGAGATTCACGGCTCACAGACACTAGGTGAAACGTCCAAGGCCCCGCACCGTAAGCCTGTGTCCTCGGCCTGTGGTCCTCGGCATGTGCGGTTACGCATTTTCAGAATTGACAGTGCATCGAACATTTTATAACTGAAGAAAGCCCTCCAAAGTTGCGGGAATTTATGTTGCGGGGCAGCTGCCATCCAGGAGCCCTGACATTTGTTGCATTTTGTTTGGGACATGATGGCGCTGTGTGCCCTCAACACATGGGGATGTGTCTAATCTCTGAGGGTAACAGTATCAGCCCATTATCTAGTGATAGAATGGGTCAGATAAGGGATTTAATTTAAAATTCTTTGAGTACGGATGTTTCTCAGGCCAGTAAGACTTGATTAAAACCGAGAAATAATGTGTTTATCCAGAAAAGGGTGCATCGGCCTTGCATCGGCCTTAAGACTCCAAGAGGTGCACGTTTTCACCTCGCCGGCAAAAGCATTTTGCGCCATGTGACGCTCATTTTGCATCCGATTCCTTTTTGTGTTTTCCACCACAGCTCACGCCGTACATTGCACATACATGTTACAATTGATAAATCATCATTGTTATTGAGAAAGTAGTAGGTGGGTGCGTGGGAATGAAACTGTAGGATGGCATGAATTGCGCTCTCCACGACGCGTTCCATATTTCATATGAGCCATCGGCACCAACTACAGCGGTTCAGAAAGGGGCTTTGGTTTTAGACCCAAGTCGGAGTTCCGGCTCTGGCATTTCTAGTTTCGTGGCTGTGGGCAAATTAATCTCCAGGTGAGACAGTCACTACGCACATGTGGCTACTGAGCACGTGACACGTGGCTCTCCCAAGTTGAAGACTAAGCGCATGCGCATGCACACAGAGCAGTATCTAAGACATTAATGTGTTTCCTAAATTACATAAGGAAATGATAATATTTTGACTAAGTAAACATTAAAATAACTTTGCCTGGTTATTTTTAATATTTGTAATGTGGCTGTTATCATAATTATTTTTTGCACAGAGCTATCTTCAAAAGCTTCGGTTTCTTCATCTAAGAATGTGGTAGTAACCTTATTTATCTCCTATTATTGTAGTAATATTTAATTAAGATAACATAGCTGAAATGTTTATGTAGTTAAAATGCCCGACATCAAGAAAAAGTTGTTCGCTGTCCAAGAGTTAGGAAGTAAAGATGTTAAGTAAGATTTTCTTTTAAAGCCTTAAACCCTAATGGGTAAGTTTTCATAGAAACTTACACAGAAAGCTTTAGTTAAGAATCGGTTTTCTTTATCCCAGGTGAAATCATTTTACTTCTCTCTGTAAAAACAAATATACAGACAGGTGTGGCGGTGGAAGGCGGGACATAATTATGACATACAAGAGTGATCTCGTGTATGCGAGCGCTTTGAAGAGTTAAAAGCACTTTCTCAATTCCAAGCATTTTTACCGTCGTCATTTGTACATAAACTCTTATATTAACTGGGAGATGTTTCTAATGTTGAGGCATTGAAGTTGCAAATGAAGCCAAGGCTGCAAGTGGTGTCAAGTACACAGAGGGCAAACGAGTTTCTGCACAAGTTTAAGATACAGAAAAGGGAGAAAGGCTGGTCGTTTGCAGAGCTTTATGTATTCAGTAGTTTAACTGAGGAAACGCTACGCAGGTGATGAGAAGGCGTAATTCAGCTGCAGACACTAGAGGGCGCTATTAGTGAGAGCTTAAGATGAATGAGGTCCTCCGTCACCCGTCCCTGCTCCACTGTAGATTATAAAAATTGGAAAAGAGCGTACGTCCGAAGTGAAACTGACACGTCTTCATTCCCTCCAAGATGTGCCTCACATAGTGGGTTTTTTTAAAAATAGTCCTGCCTCTAGTGTTACATTGCCACAATCCTAAAATATTACAGGGTTTATATAGTGCTTGTGCAAATAATTGGGAAGAGTTTAAAATGGTTTCCCGTCCTGAGAAACACTTGATCAAAAGCCCACGAAGATCAGGAGACAGAAAAACGCCCCAGAAAGGGCTTTCAAC